TACAGCACCAGCACAAAAATAAGAACCTCTGTCTGGCTTGCTCCACTTCGCCAGACGAGGACTAACCTGAATGATGAATCGATAGAGAGTGCATGTTCCTGGTCACATTTGCCACTGAGGAACACAGGTCTGGTGTTGCTGGATATTTCTATTTTTACAAATAAGCTGAGGCTGCAGACTTTTGTGTGATGTTCCCTAATTTTTTAAATGTTGGAAACAAATTTAAATTACTTAAAAAAATGCGCAGGCCAAGCAAAGCATGTCTGTGATTTAGATGTGGCTCAAGGGCCGCCAGTCTGTAATCTGCGTTTTAAGGGCAAAACAGTACCGTGTTTTCCTGGGACCAACTTCCATCTCATTACTGATTGTTCAAATTGTATCAAAATGGCTCAAGCTGACCCTGTTATCCAAGCTGCTGTCCTTCATATTGTCCCACGGAGAAAGGCTAACTGATGAAGGAGAGTGTGGGGTAGAAGAAGGAACACAGAGAGGTTTTAGTGCTGGACACTTGTAGTTTGGAACCCTGTCTGTCATTCATCCATTTTGTAATGTTGGGGAAGTTACTGAAGTCTCTGAGTTCCAGTTTTACCCTCTGTAACATGAGGATAATGATATCTCCTCCTTGGGGTTATTATGAGGATGAGAATTATTGTGAAGTTTATGTTCGTCAGTGAGGTTAAAGATATACAGTGGTACATCTACCAGTTGGTACAAATGGTAGTTCTCCTTCCAACTAAAGGGAATCCTTTAAAATGGGAAATGGGAACAAGTGATTAAGGTACAAATCTTAGTTTTCCCTGATTTATTTAAATTACTTGAAATTTCCAACAGAATGGAATTAAGGTTTCACTCAATAGTATAGACTAAGTGCTTTTTTTTTCTGTTAAGATTTCATTTGTTAGACGTATGATCAGGAGCAAATCACTAAACCACCCAATTTTCTTATCTGGTTAGTAAGGATAATAATATATTAAATTGGGATAATAATACATTATTGAAGGGCTAGTGTAAGGAAACTTCCTAAGCACTGTAACTGCACATAGTTTGCTAATGTATGGTAGACATTTGTACAATTATCCATGTAATTATCTCGGTCTTGTGTTTCATTAGATCTCGAGACCTGACATCTGTTCATCCATCTGTCTGTCTGTCATCCATCTATCTTAATTTTTTATTAGAATAAAATTCACATAGAATTAACCATTTATTTTTCTTCCAGTTTTATTGAGAAATAATTGACACACAGCACTGTATAGATTTAAGGTGTGCAGCATAATGATCTGACTTACATACATCATGACTTACATACAACGCAATGTTTAACAAACATCCATCATCTCATGTAGAAACATAATTAAAGAAATAAAAAATTTTTTTTCCTTGTGGTAAAAACTCTTAGGATTTACTTTCTTAACAACTTTTCATATATAACATACAGCAGTGTTAATTATATCAATCGTATTGCACATTATATTACTTATTTATCTTACAATTGGAAGTTTGTACCTTTTGACTGCCTTCATCCAGTTCTTCCTCCTCCCACCTCTGGTCACTACCAGTCTGATCTCTTTTTCTGTGGGTTTACTTGTTTGTTTGTTTGTTTTTGAAGTATAACTGACCTATGACACTATATTAGTTCCTGGTGTACAACATAATGATTTGATATTTCTATACATTTCAAAATCATCTTCATGATAAACTAGTTGTCATCATTCACCATACAAAGATATTACATAATTATTGACTATAATCCCCACTCTGTACATTTCATACCAAAGACTCATTTATTTTGTAACTGGAAGTTTGTACTTCTTAATCTCCCTCACCTCTTTCTCTGATCTCCCAACCCTTTTCTTTC